TACTTCTATATATATTATTTATATAAGAGTTATATGACAATGTTCTATAAGACTTCCCATGCATGTCCAATTTGCAGGACATGTCCTTAATTTATAAGATAAGTTTCCTATGTATGCACCATGTAGTTAACTTGTTCCACAAGCTACTTATACATACAAAATATGGCTAACTTGTTGGCTAAGTTTCTAACCTACCAATTACCTATAAACATGTATAAAAATAAAAATATATCTATGAAACTTCTAAGAAGCTAGTCTATCAGATATTATCAAAATAATTTACTAGAGATGAAAGAATCAAACTTATTTGCAAAGAATAATCCAGAAGAATTACATTATGAAGCTTCCAAATACAATTACATATAGAAGAACCATCATTAGAACTAACAAACATAAGCTTATTAAACGAATCCATTAATTTAGAACCAAATGACTTATCCATAAATCTAAGTCATTTAAATTCTACAAAATTTAATCCAAACTATTGAATTATAGATTATACAAAGAAAACCAAGAAAAAGAAGTTCGAATACTGAACCTCTAGTATCAATACCAATATCAATTCAAAATTGAAGACATCCAAACCAATTCAAAAATTACTATGTAATAATCACCAAAACAAATAAAGAACCCATTAATTATAAAGAGGCAATCTTAGATCAAAAATAGAAATTAACAATTCAATTAAAAAAATATTTGCTACCAAAAAAAAACATTGATACCATGCCATCTTACTCTAGTGAAAAAAGCCATTGGAGTCAAATGGGTATTTAAAATAAAAAAAGACAAAAATAAGAAATTTATTAAGAAGAAAGCTAAGATGCTTGCATTGGATAATCAACAAAAGGAAGGAGAAGTTTTCCTTAATATATTTGCACACATAGTGGGTTGGAACACTATAATAATCATTCTCCGGCTAACAGCCTACAAACGATGGAGTCTTTGTCAATTTGATGCAATAATGGCTTTCTTGAACAGATCAGTAACCAAAGACATCTACATGCACACTCCACCTTGATTCAATAACAAAGAGAACACCAGGACAGTAGTCAAATTACTGCGAGTACTTTACGGTTTGAAGCAAGCTCCCTAAGCTTAGTACTCACTAATCAATTCCTTCTTGCTCCCATGTGAACTAAAGAAGAGCTCAAATGATCCCAATCCATATTATTTGATATCCAAGAGAAAACACACCGTAGGACTCTTATATGTAGACAACTTTCTGATAACCAAAGACAACTTAGAAGACATCGATAGAATCACTTGACACCTACTGAACACCTTTGACATGACAAAATTGGACAATGTAAAATTCTACCTTGAGAGTAAAATTGAACATACAAATCACAAATTGTGGCTTTACCAAAAAAATATACATTTTATTGTTGCTCCAAAGATTTGGCATGGAATATTGTAAACTTACATCTACTCCACTGTGTGCAAATAGCAAACTCAATACAGACATGGGAGAAAAATTAGTAAATAAACAACTGTATCGGGCTCCAATTACGTGCCTGATTTGTGCCACAATCACAAGAATCCACACTGGCTACGTTGAAAGATGTATCAGTAGATTCATCACTACACTGCAAGAACCTCACCACATTGCAGCCAAGAGAATCTTGCGATACTTAGCAGGAACATTTGTCTGGGGATTGTTCTTTCTAAAAGACAAAAAATAGAACTCACGACTTTCATTGATGCCTACTATGGAAGCTGTTCGGACTTTGAAGTAAACTCGGAGATGGTGTGATTGACTAGAACTCAAAATAGCAACCTACTATAGCCCTCAACACAATCAAAGCTAAGTACAAAGTGTAAATAAAAGTCGCTTGCAACCTGATCTATCTCAATCCCTACTTCAAGAGTTACAAATCATAAGAGATGAGCCATTAAAAATTTTGAGCAACAATTAGAGTTGTATAAAGTTGGTATACAATCATGTACTTCACGTAAGAACAAAGCACATTGAAATACAACACCATTTTATTCAAGAGAAAAGTAAAGCCAGAAACCTACAAGTGAACTGCATCCCTACCTCGCAGCAAGAGGCAGTCTTGGGCTAATCTTAGCTTCCAAAAAGCTCAAAAAAGCTCTTGGTACATAAAAATTCTTTCAATTGAAAATTAGAGAAACTTAGCTCTAACCTATTCTAGTGTAGATGAGCTAACAATCCAAAGCCCTTTCTTTGTAATCTTGTGCTTGAAATCAGGTGCTCTCGGGTTTACGTTGTTGAACCTATTATCCCACCACTTGCTAAGGTCGGCAAAATAGTCTTTTCAAGAACAAGCATCACTGTACTTTATCCTCAAAAAACTGGACTCTGATCGCGTAAACTAAAGTGGTTCAGAAGAGATACAGCTTGGATCCTCAACTCGAGAAGCATCAAAACCAAGATTAACACCAATCGAAGAGGTCACAACAGAATGAACCTATGAAACACCTACCGAACACAATTTGCAAGAAATTTCCCCTTCAAATTCAGCTTCGAAGGAAGTCAAATACAAATCATCAATCTCTTCCTTCGAAAAACCTCTCAAAGATTACTTCAGGTGACCAATTGTTTGAACAAGGATTAAATTGCAGAGGCAACGAAGCAAGACAAAAAAGGCCCATATTCCTATCAATAAAACTTCAAACTGTACTGATGTCAATACTCAAAAAATGCGAAACCCTAAGGAACGGCAAGTCAAAGGAAAACCCAAAACAAACGACATCAACAACAAGAACGAAGATCTCCCCGATCTCAAATCGTCAACCTACATCTGCAAAACTCGAACTGCCTCAGACAAACGGAACTTGCGCTGCTGCATTCTGTAAAAATGAAGAATGCAAGAGGGAGTGTTGAATGAATCAGACTCATCCACCCTCTGTTCCAGAACATTCGGCATTGTAGACTGAAAAGTCGATGTTTACATTGTGACATAGGATGACACCACGTGTACCAAGATTAGCAACTCAATTCTTATCCTAACCCTAATTAAGAACTTCTGGGCTTTAAGGTAGCCGCAATTAAGCTGTACTTAAGCTATGATGATCCGGATGCTGATCATGCTTTAGAAACTGAATATCTTCTGTGACATGCTTGTTCAATTTCTAGAGTATCTTTACAATGGCTTTCAGATCCAGAAGGAGAAGCTCAGTCAGATAGGTTTGGAAGTGTTGCTGGAGATGAGCCAAGGTGGAGGATTCAATCGCATGCAACGTCTAGTTTTGCAGCCAGATGCAGACATGTAAGATGACCATGGCGATTTCTCAACACTGAGTGGCTAGTAACCCTGCCCAGTACAGGCATGGACTCTTGGTTTAAGGTCACATCTCATGTCATGGTGAGAGATTCTATCTTCGAGTTTATTCTCATTTAGTCGCATGTATGGTTGGGAGAACGTTAATTCCCGATGTTTCTTTTCACTATTTTCCCTTTTTTTTTTTTTTTTTTTTTTTTGTAACATATCATTGCTGACAAAGTTACTGATGTGCTGATCCGACGTAAAGTATCCCTAACATTCATAAGTAGACCAATTATCCGTCTTGTTTTGCGAGACAGGGGCTCAGCTTAGACCGGTTACTCTCAAGGATGGACGAAAGCCCTTGACGACAGATCAGTATCACAGAAATTCCGATAAGCCACAGAACCTATCTGTTGATGCAGGAGGTCCATCTCTTGTTGCAGTTGTTGGAAATTTGCGTCACCTTGTGCCAGTGAGTTTGACGTTCTGCTGCTTTTCTATTCTGTAAGAATTTTTTTCATAAAGTTGTGTTCACAAATGATTCCCAAGCTTGATGTTAGGTTCAGCTACTGGAGTAACGAAACTCAATTTTTGAACTGCTGTCAGGGCATCATTTCGAGATGGCCAATGTGAAGAGCTTGTCTCTGTTTTCAGCCATATTAGGATCTGATGGTAGGATGAATGCATCTCATGGATTGCGGAGAATAATAGCGCCTTCTGTATCGTCTAGGCAAGCTTGGATAGGTGAGAATATGAAGCTCACTCAGGCTCAAGTTGCAAGAATTCTCAGTTACTTCCCATGCTTTTGAAGTCAGCTGCACCTCAAGCTTTAGTGTTGCAGATGGTGGAATCTCACATGGTCGACCTGCGCTGAATTCATCTCACAGCTCAACACGTTCGGAGCTCCTCAATTGAGTTTGCCGCTGCACGTGAGGTAGGTTTTTGAAGTCTTTTACCATATTCCCCTAAGTAGGAAAATATGGAATGCTCTGATGTCTGTGGAGGGTCACCGAGCAGTTATGAAGTTTGCAGAACTGCATCTTATCGGTTGTTCGGTAGGTAAATTACTGAAGATAATCTGTTTGACACAAATGTTAAGCAAATTAATGAATTGTCTCGTGCGCATCAACGTTGTTCATTCGAATGCTGTTCATTATTGTGAAAACCCTTTCGTGCAATCTCTTAATCTTTGATGTTTACATTTCAATCCATGTCTCTGTGATTTTTTTATGTCGAAAATTTAGATATTACAAAAGGATAAAATGATTATAATTGTAATAATCATGAAGATAAAATTGGAAATGTCTCTATAAATTCATCAATTTTTTTTCAAATTGACAAATAAATTTTACAGGGAAAGAAGTATCTTTAAAAAAGTAAATTAATTATTAAAAAATCATAAAATCTGTAACATAAATTTCCAATTCTACTAATTTCACTATTTAAATAATTTCTGATTTCTTGGTGAATAAAATTACGATTTAGAAAAACTTATGAATTAATTTATCAAAATCCCAAATTAAATTATACTTTGAAACGTAAAGAATTAGAATTTCGCATACAAAATTTTTTTTACGAAAAATGTTATTCTGATATATTATTTATTTATTAATTCTAAAGAATAATTCTAAATGATTTAGTAAATAATATTATAACCAAACTATTTTTTTTAAATTACAATATATATATATATATATATATATACACATATAGTATTGAATGCACGATTTCGAGAGAAGCGAGAGGTAGGGAGCCCTTCCCGCGCTCATTTGCAGACTACCTACTTCTGTAGCTCCTCTTCCTTCTGTAGCTCCTCCTCCTTCTCCTCTTTTTGCTGCTGCTGCTCGTAATCTCGCCAGCTTTCCGCCTGCGTCCTCTTCCTCCTCCTCTTGCTTGCTGCCGTGATCGCGAGGACGTGCTTTGCTTGTTCTACAAGATTTTTCTCGAGTTTTTCTTGTTTTTTTTGTTTTGTTTTATTTATATTTTTTCATATTATTGAGTAGTTAGTCACTTCTACTTCTATTATTATTATTATTATTATTTGTATTTTTTTCTCCCCTGGTGTTTGGCTTCCTCGCTGTGATTTTCTGACTTCTCGTGACACAGGAAGAGTAACGGGTACTCTATCTCTGGTTTGTCGGTGCGATTGAATTAGTTTATGGCTGGGAGCAGAAAGTGTTGTAGCAATGTGCAGCTTGGGGTGACAGAGGATCCGTTCTGGTCTACAATTAGTTGCAGCTGCGATTTGTCGATTGCCTTGGCTGAGGCGTTTTAGGTTTTTTCGTGCACTCTCTGTGTAGACAGCTTCGTTTCGCGGAGTGTTCGCCTCCTGCTCTCTCTCTCTCTCTCTCTCTCTCTCTCTCTCTCTCTCTCTTTTTTTTTGCGGAGAAGTTTGGTTAAGTTCTGGCGACGTTATGGAAGGTGCTTCAGTGTCCACAAACCCTCGGTCCGTGGATGAAGTCTTCAAGGATTATAGGGGGCGCCGAGGAGGAATGCTCAAGGCGCTCATCGCTGGTAAGGTTTGGGGCAGTTGTTGTGTTTGAACCTTGGATGATCACATCAGGTTTGCCAGAGTAGGGTTAGGCGTCTTCAGCATCGTGTCCTCATCAGGAAAAGAAAAGAGCACTGGTTTCTGTAGTTCAGAAAAAAATGTGCAGCTTCGTACAGCTTTCTCTCAGATAGTTTGTAAGTCGCATTTGGTTCCTCCAAATGATCGTATTATTCTTTTTAGGATTGTGTGTGTTTGAGAACTACAGAAATGGTGATAGTTAACTCACGATATAAAACGAACCATAGAATGCTTTTTTTCTTTTTTTATTTCTTTTTTCTTTCTTTTTTTCTCTCTTTCTTTCTATCTTTCTTTCATTTCTCCCTTTTTCAGCATACATTGTGGTTCTGCACGGTAATCCGCATCTAATTTTTGCATTTCCTTGAATTGTGAAGACGTAGAAGAATTTTATCGGCAATGTGATCCAGGTTCGATTTCCGTGAACCTAAACGGTGTTATCATATCGTGAAATGATGCATTGTTGACTTTGGTTGATTGCCACGGTTTTGGAAACTGACTGAGTATTAGCAGAGATCTTTAACGCTGGATACGACCATAGCAATCCTTGCTGATGGAAAGTTGTGGAACGTGCAGAAAAGGAAAACTTGTGTTTATACGGATACCCTGATGAATCATGGGAGGTTAACCTTCCAGCTGATGAAGTGCCCCCGGAGCTACCGGAGCCTGCGCTGGGGATCAACTTCGCCCGCGACGGAATGCAACGGAAGGACTGGTTGTCATTAGTTGCTGTCCATAGTGATGCGTGGCTGCTTGCCGTAGCGTTTTATTATGGAGCTCGATTCGACAAAAATGAAAGGTAAGGGCGTACGATTTTCCTGTTGGCAATGTTATGGGAAATGGTGGTAACGTAAGTAAGACTGATGAATAATTCTGTTGCCGAGTTGGCCCTGTTAGTGCTATTCAAACCACAAAATTTGGTGATAATTCTTCGTCAGACTTGTTCTTGGAGTTCCTTTTTTAATTTTGTTTAAAAACGAAAATTTGTATTTTCTGTACTTTTAGGTTACGAAATTTTTTCAAAGTCACTTTTGCTCTTGACCTAGTTTGGTGAAGTTATGTAGCCTTTTTATTATTATTATTATTATTATTATTATTATTATTATTATTATTTTACTCTCTTGGACGTTTACTGTGGTTATATTGGTGGGTACATTGGCAGGAAGCGGTTGTTTAATTTGATCAATGAGCTTCCTACAGTGTTTGATGTAGTGTCTGGGAAGAAGCCTGTGAAGGAAAAGGCCAGTGTTAACAACAACAACAATAGTAACAACAACAACAACAACAACAACAACAACAACAACAGTGGTGGAAATAAAATAAAGTCTGCTGCTAAAGTGGTGAGTGATATATTTTTGTTTGGTGGCCCTTAAAAAGGTGGATTTGGATTCACCACGATCTGTTCGGATGCAGTTATGTTATAGCACGTCGGGGCGTAGTTAGTAACGTCCGCGTCAAGATAAGCTTTGAAACTGTCTTTGAAGTGATTTGATGCCCTCGTGCGAGTGATAGTTTTGACAGCGGAGGAACAACTTTGTATTTTCACCTTTTTGGTTGAGTGCTTGTGCGCTGGTCATCATGCCTGTGTTCCTGGTTGGTACGATTCCGTGCAGCAACGTGTGGTTGAACCCGTCAAGCCAAAACCTGCCCCCCCTTCCCCCCAGGATGAAGACTATTTTGAGGACGACGAGGAGGAACATGGAGATACAACTTGCGGCACCTGTGGAGGGAGTTACACTGCTGATGAGTTCTGGATAGGGTGTGACATCTGTGAAAAATGGTATCATGGAAAGTGTGTGAAGATAACTCCTGCAAGAGCGGAGCACATCAAGCAATACAAGTGCCCTTCGTGCAGCAACAAAAGAGCGCGTACGTAACAGAACATAAGTTAGTATTGCCGAGTTCGAGTTAGATGCAGAAATGGTATGAAAGGTCGTGTGAGGTAAACGTCCCGCAGCAGTAGGGTCATGTACTTGGTTGAGCGTTTTATAGAGCACTCGGCTGACATTGCACTAGAATTCTGCTGTCATATGTTGTTATCCGAAGATATTTCAGGATTGAGTGGGCAGTATCGTTGTGATCATTTGTTCTGTTTGTAGTCGGTAGTCGGTATTGATTTTCGTGACGTGCTTGTTTAGATGTCCAAACTCGTTTTCATCGAGGTGGCTCTCGATTTTTACTTCTTTAAATCATCTCTAGATTATAATCTTTCATGTGATTCTCCCTCTTGTGCAAGGACCCAGCTGAGTCAAGATTTTGCATATTGTTTTGCAGCTTCCTTCCCATGATAGATGCGACATTGCGCGATCATTGACTGTATCCGTGAGGATGGTATTCTCGACTGTTGCAGTTGCCCGCGCTGGCTAGTAGATGGAAAGGATGCGTGCGAAGACATTTGCTGTAGATTCGAATATGCAGGTCATATTACTAAATGGGGAATGACATTAAGTTGGGTTGAATTATTCACGGAAGTTGGCTTTTGTTGCCAGATTTTTGAGGTTCATAGTGAGGCTGATACCTCAAAATGCTTCACTGTGTACCTTAACATTCACAGGAAGGCTGATGCTTTTGGGGCGCATGTTAAAAAATAGGATCGAATAGGATCCGCCAAAGGAAATGCCTGCAAGCAGGTGGTCATGATTGTACAGATTGGGAAGTTGTTATTTGCATCCATGTGTGAAGATTGTACGAAAAGTCCACTGATTTGAGGAATACGTAGTTGAAGGTGCACGTTCGCCACATGTTTAAAAGGTGTGCTCTTACGTTTCATGGTCGCACTAAGTAGCACACTGGCTCCCTTAATTTCACATCTTTTGAGGGCTAATTTTGAAAGTTTTTCAAGGATTGTATTTGATGCATGTAGCCGACTTGAAATGTTTTTATTACTTTCCTCATCAAAAATCTGAATTGTCCCATTGTGAAGATACCATGGAAGCTGACTTCATATTGAGGTTATGCTGACGCAATGGATCGTAAACTATGAGTAAAAGAACATTTGACGTTCGTAATGCAACGGAAGCAATAAAATCCCGATGTCATAGTCAGGTGGGGTGAATCTGAAAGAAATTCCTAGTTGTACGATTATTTGCGTCATCAAATAAGGTTGATTCATCGATGTGCATTTCTGGGATGAAAAGAGGTAAGGAAATATCAAACAGAAATATTATTACAACAACCTTATAATTTTGTTATCAGTTAGTGGTTTTGAATGTACCATTGAGAACTCATATTGACGACCTTTTGTTTCTTTGCCATCTTTTTAATTTAATAATTTCTTTTGTAAAATTTATTTGGTTCATTATAATCTAACTACTAACAAATATTTCACTTTGATTTACATTTTAAAAATATTAGTATTCACTACAATTTAAGAGAAATGTTAAAATGATCCATGCTTTTGTAAAATCGACCCACGTGTTTAAACCATCATTGCACCCCCGTCGTTCCCTCCGTTCCCAGCCCCATCTCGTTCCCCTTGTTCCCAACCCCCGTCTCCGTTCCCGTTGAAAATGCTGAGCTTGGATTCATGAACCAACTCCGTTGGCCTCCTAGCTCCCGCTTTGTGATGTAGCACAAGCAGTCTCTGAAAGTAACTCCTTGTCGCAAATAACTTTTGCAAAGAATGGGGAAGAGGTTGCCACGGGAAGAGAAGCACAAGGTCCCCCCTAGCCGAATGGCCGCTCCGATGGATCCCTCAAACAAATAACTTTAGATCCTTGGCAGTTGTGGTTTAGACAAATGCGCAACAACAATCTGTGGCATTCCACATTTTCCTTTTTGGTAGGGATGCCCTTGCCTTCGAGCGCAGCTTCTTCCTCTCGCATCACAATCATCTCAGGCCGCCTACCGGCCACCACATCGCCAGGCTTCACTAACAAAGCGTAATTCCAAAGTCTGCAAGGAAATGAGACCAGCAATCGAGGAGCCTCAGAAACTTTCCAGAGGTCTAGCGCAAATGTGAGGACGGAGAGGACGACGGCGCAAAGAACAATCCCGACGCACAAGGAGATAGCGGACTTCGCCTTGCGATGCAGATACATCGACAACTTGCACCGCAAAGATGGGCATGTAGAAGACTCCGAGTACAATTCGCTATGGTCGACGATGAGCATTGGCATGCTGAAAGATTTTTGCACCTCCATGCTCAGTCTCTTGGCTCCAACTTTGTACATTGCGTCGACGTTGTGAGCAGAATTGGATACCTTGTTCAAAACGCTCCTGTAAAGAATTAAAAATGATTGTCAAGCATTTTGGTATTCCTGTAAATCACAACCATCTGTGAACTCGACCTCGCAGTTGAAATGCCTGTGACATCCTGGTGGACTGGGGACGAGGGTTCGGAACATGGGGAACATCGACAAAGGGAACGGCGGGGTGCAATAATGGTTTAAATCTGTGGGTCAATTTAACGAAAGCCTGGGTCATTTTAATATTTTAACATAGAGTAATTAATTCCTTGAAAGAATTAATTACTTAATCTGTTTCTCTGAATATATAGGTACATGTTTTTAAATTTTTATTTCTAATTAATTGAACTTTAGTTGACATGACTTATTACAATTCACTAATTTTTAATGTTAATAAAATTAGGTAATAGTTGGATATTATATGTATTTTATAGATAGATCTTTAGTGTTTATTTGGCCAAATTTGGTGAAGAATTTCTAAAACCAAATTACTTCCAGAACATCATTAAAGAGGTTTTTATACTTTGATTTATAAAAATAATAAAAAAAAATATACAATTAGTTTGTTTTTACCTAACTATCTATTTGATCCACCATTATTTATTTATTTATTTATTTAAACCTGAATTAAATACAAGTCTTAGTTCTTCTTAGCTATTAGATTTGTACGACATAATATACTCAAAGTTATCTTTTCTGATTTTGGAGTGCATCTTGCTATATCTTAATAAATAAAGTTTTAGAGACCTAATCAAATTGAGTTATTCTAAATAATTCAAAGTAGATCCCAAATTATAAATTGCATGATTTGATAACTTTTTTAGTCTTAAGTAATAAATATAAAATTTATTTATAAGAAGTCTAACTTTATAGGATTTTAAAATAAAATTGGCAACAAATACATTTATTATATAATTTTTTTTATCCTGTAATCTTTCAAATAAATGTTTAGTATATTATTTTTTATATAAAAATACTTTTAGTTACATATTCATATTTATTTCTTATTTTTGTTTTAGATCTATAATATTCTTATTATTTTTAAAATTTTTAATTTGATCGACTTAATTTTAATATTTTCTTGTATCAAATATGTTGTAACTCTATATTATTAAGACAATTTTTTTTGACATTCTATTGTGTCAAGTAAAAATTATATTATATATAATATAATAATAATAATTTAAATATTTATTTTAATATATTTGATTTTTTTAAAAAGTTTGTATATAGATATATGAAACTTAAAAATTTGATACTCTTAATTGTAATTTTTGTGGAACTTAAAGTTATAATTTGTAGACAACTTATAAATTTTTATTTTATACAACTTCTTTGATATCTATGTATAATAATTTTTAATATGTCAATTGCTATTATTTTTAAATTATTTTTGAAAATTTGTAATTACATGTTAAGAAATTTTTTTTTACAAAGATCTCTTTTAATATTTTATTTTAAGTTTTTAATTATTTATTTTATAAAATAAACTTTTAATTAATTTTCTTATATTAAAGTATTGGAATGCATTATTACATTTACTTTTTTTGTAATAATTATTATCAAGGATAAGAACTTGAAGAATATAAATAAATAAACAAGATGTATATAAAAAAAGAAATTATATATTTTTTTATAAAATGTATATATTCAAGAAGAAATTAGAATGACTATTGCTAAAGACAAAAAGATTAGAGATTCTTAAAACTAGACTAAAAATAAGAAATGCATTGATTAGAGTGAGAATGGCTTAACTCTTGCCTTTATATATACTATTTAATTAAGGAGCTATGTGGCAACGTCCTTTAGGCCACAAAACATGTATCCAACTTGCAAGAGACATGTTTAACTTATAGAGCAATTTTCCAATATGTGCACCATAAAGCCAACTTATAATACAAGTGCCTAATATGTACAACATATAGCCAATTTTTTAACCAAGTTTTCAACTAATCAATTAATTATAAACACTTGTAAAGTCAAATATGCATCTACAAAGTTGTTAAGAATTTTTCTAATAAGATATTATTAATTTAATTTACTTTTACTTACTTTTATTTTATTATATTTGTTTCTAATAATCCAAATGAAAACAAAAGTAAGTATATGTGTTTATATTATTTTTTTCTATTTTAGAAATGAGTTCAAAAAAGAAATGTAATTATATATTAAGAAAATTTAAAATACAATAGATTTTATTTGCCATATACTATAATCTTTGTTCACTTTAAAGGTAATTAATATGTCTTTCCAACCAACTATATTATTCCATATAAGAGTAAAAAGACCACCATATGTTTTGATCATTGTTGTAACCTATATAACTTTTTTTAAATATTACATTTGAGACGCCATTTATGATAGTTTCTATCTTTAATAATATCACAAAAAATTGAGATTCTCTTTCAAGTTTGTAATACTAAATGTATTGTATCTTTCAATTTATTTATTTTGAAAAAAATTCTTGAGAATATTCATTTTGATTACAATGTTTTAAAGGCTAAAAAACTCTCAATGATTTCTTTGGTAACTCCACAAATAATAATTTTTGAAGTGACTTTAAAGGTTTTTGGTTTTGTATCTTAATAAAGGAAAAATCTTGCAAAATAATTATGAAGAATACAAAAAAATGAAATAAAAAAGGATTCTAGATTAAACCTCATTTGTTTTATATCATAAGCTATTTAGATTTTTTTTTTTTTTTTTTTTTTTTTTTTTTTTTTTTTACATTTTTGATAGATTTTTAAAAATATCAACCTTCTTTATTGCATTAGCAAGATTCCTTAGAATTTCTATATGTATTTATTAATATTATATTTGAGCCAATGTACAAGATATTTTAATTTATATTAGCACTACTTTGAATTCAAGACTTCTTCTATTTTAAACTATTGATTGATATCATCTTCTATATATAGATATAATAATTATTTAAAAAAAATATATCCACTATTTTAAATGTCTCAAAAAGAGATGTGCAGAAAGATTGATAAATCTTCATTGACTCCAATAGATATAAATAATATACAATTAGATTGATTTCTTTTTACAAATAGAAAATGATCCAAGTCTATTATAATCTAAATTGTCACAAGGACAATTAGTTATTAATTAAGTGAAAAAATATCACATGATTGTTCAAATACTTTTACTTTCTTCAATATTTAAGGTCATTAAATATCTCTTGAGCCTAACTCTAAAGTCTTATTATGTTAAAAGTATTTTTTTATACCAAAATTATGATGAACTTAAAGAAAATGTAGTTGTGCTTTATCTTTTGGAACATATGAGCATTGTTTGAAATAAATAAGATTGTCTTTGAATTTAAACCTAAAAGTATCATGAAACTTAGAGGATTTCATTTATTTATTTTATTTTTTAAATTTTATTTTTTAAAATTTTTTAAGTCGTATACAAGAAATCCTAAAAACATACTTAGATAAATTTGATTAAAAAATATTAAATCAACTAATATTATTGATTTTAAACTTCAAAAATGAAATTGTTGGAGTTTCAAAAGAATTATTTGCCATTGATTACAAGTTTCTTTTCTTTCTTTTGGCGCAAGATAAAAGCATCAAGATAAGAGATATTACAAACCATGTTGTTTTCAAAGAGTTTAAATAATATTAAATACAAATCTCAATA